AGTAGAGCAGATATAATTATTTTTATAAAAAATTTATAACATAAGTATGTTATAAAATCACTACAAAAATAGCCATTTTGTTTCAACACACTCTGTGTCTTATCAAGTGATGGTGTTGAAAAGAAAATAAATGGTTTTAAAAGTTTCAGATTAATTAACGATCCTACATACAGGGGGAGCATTGTTACAAAAGCTAGAATAACCAATCAAAAACGAAGTACAGAAAGATTCAAAAGCTTGACAACAAAATCCTGCTATTATAGCTATTTAGATCTTTAAATACGTGTAATATTAAAAATAATTTTTACTAACTAATAATTATAAATTTATATGATAAAATTTAATATTAAAATTAAAAACTGGCAATTTTAAAATCCAAATTTAATCACTATTAAGTTTAAAACTACAAAATTATTGAGAAAAGAAAAATATATATGTTTATTCAATTCATTTCTTCATTGAAATTACGTCTGACAAGACAAAAAGCTACAATTCGTCCGGTCATCTGATAATACAAGTATATATTTTTTTCTTTTTCCGTTTTTATTTTAAAGTTTGTGAATATGGTCTTAAACTCACGCGTGACACAACAAAAACACAATCAGATTATAATACATAAGCATCCAGACATAATTAGATACACACACACACACACACACACACACACACACACACACACACACACACAACAAATATACACACAAAAAAAAAAAAAAAAAAAAAAAGAAAAAGGTGGGGGGAATACATGAACAACTCCACAGCCCTTTACGAAAAAAGGAGACGTGGAAACTTACACTTATACACACACACAGTTAAATGTGAATACACTCTACATACACATAGACACCGATATATACACAAACATACATCCACAATGGCATAGACATTGAGAAATCACAATCAGTAAATATTTCAGACTTAAATAAATGCTAACCACTTATTGAATTATAACTTAAGGGAGCAAATATATAAAGATAAAAATGTTTAAAATAATATTATTTAATATATTAAAACGAAAACTCTAAAACAATAAATATCAATAAAAAATATATATATATTATTAATCATATAAGTTGATAATAGTTTCATTATATATTTGGCAAAGAAAACAGGATAAAGAAATCCACAAATATATACATATATATATATATATATACACGGCAGCAAAAAACAAATTAACACACATAAAAAAAAAAAAAATATATATATATATTCATACATACATATACGTACAGAAATACACACAAATAAATATATAAACATAAACATATACGTACATATACATATCTATGATAACAAGTACATATGTACGTACATATACATATAAACCTAAATACACACACATATATACACATAGACTTTTATGCACACATACTTAGATATATAAAAAACAGTCATGATATACCAAAGTTTCCATACCTACACATACACACAAACTCATACATAATAGGTTCCAACACACACACCTATATATATACATACACAAACATACATAAATATATATACACATACATACATATCTACAAATAAACATATATATATACATAAATATATCTATCTACAATAACAACCACCCTATATATACATGCATACATAAAAAATACAACAACTTTCAACCAAATACATATATAAACGAACTAATATATAGATACATAAATATACCTTCAAACACCAACACACAGCAATATACATATAGTCTAACATACAAATATATAAACACATTCATACAAACAGAATTATACTTAAATATAAATACACATACACAATAAAATAGGACATACAGATATATATACACATATATATATATGCAGTATATTAAGTATAATTCTGTTTGTATGAATGTGTTTATATATTTGTATGTTAGACTATATGTATATTGCTGTGTGTTGGTGTTTGAAGGTATATTTATGTATCTATATGTTAGTTCGTTTATATATGTTTTTGGTTGAAAGTTGTTGTATTTTTATGTATGCATGTATATATGGGTGGTTGTTATTGCAGGTAGATATATTTATGTATATATATATGTTTATTTGTAGATATGTATGTATGTGTGTATATATATTTATGTATGTTTGTGTATGTATATATATAGGTGTGTGTGTTGGAACCTATTATGTATGAGTTTGTGTGTATGTGTAGGTATGGAAACTTTGGTATATCATGACTGTTTTTTATATATCTAAGTATGTGCATAAAAGTCTATATGTGTATATATGTGTGTGTATTTAGGTTTATATGTATATGTACGTACATATGTACTTGTTATCATAGATATGTATATGTACGTATATGTTTATGTTTATATATTTATTTGTGTGTATTTCTGTACGTATATGTATGTATGAATATATATATATATTTTTTTTTTTTATGTGTGTTAATTTGTTTTTGCTGCCGTGTATATATATATATATATATGTATATATTTGTGGATTTCTTTATCCTGTTTTTCTTTGCCAAATATATAATGAAACTATTATCAACTTATATGATTAATAATATATATATATTTTTATTGATATTTATTGTTTTAGAGTTTTCGTTTTAATATATTAAATAATATTATTTTAAACATTTTTATCTTTATATATTTGCTCCCTTGGTTATAATTCAATAAGTGGTTAGCATTTATTTAAGTCTGAAATATTTACTGATTGTGATTTCTCAATGTCTATGCCATTGTGGATGTATGTTTTGTATATATCGGTGTCTATGTGTATGTAGAGTGTATTCACATTTAACTGTGTGTGTGTATAAGTGTAAGTTTCACGTCTCCTTTTTTCGTAAAGGGCTGTGGAGTTGTTCATGTATTCCCCCACCTCTTCCTTTTTTTTTTTTTTTTTGTGTGTATATATTTGTGTGTGTGTGTGTGTGTGTGTGTATGTATGTATCTAATTATGTCTGGATGCTTATGTATTATAATCTGATTGTGTTTTTTTGTTGTGTCACGCGTGAGTTTAAGACCATATTCACAAACTTTAAAATAAAAACGGAAAAGAAAAAATATATACATGTATTATCAGATGACCGGACGAATTGTAGCTTTTTGTCTTGTCAGACGTAATTTCAATGAAGAAATGAATTGAATAAAAATATATTTTTTTTTTCTTTTCTCAATAATTTTGTAGTTTTTAAACTTAATAGTGATTAAATTTGGATTTTAAAATTGCCAGTTTTTAATTTTAATATTAAATTTTATCATATAAATTTATAATTATTAGTTAGTAAAATTATTTTAATATTACACGTATTTAAAGATCTAAATAGCTATAATAGCAGGATTTTGTTGTCAAGCTTTTGAATCTTTCTGTACTTCGTTTTGATTGGTTATTCTAGCTTTTGTAACAATGCTCCCCTAGTGTAGGATCGTTAATTAATCTGAAACTTTTAAAACCATTTATTTCTTTTCAACACCATCACTTGATAAGACACAGAGTGTGTTGAAACAAAATGGCTATTTTTGTAGTGATTTTATAACATACTTATGTTATAAATTTTTTATAAAAAATAAATATATATATATATATATATATATATATATATATATATATATATATATATATAATAAAAAGGCTTAAACACTAATATTCCATGGTCATAATTTATTATTGGAATAAATATGATCCAAATCATCAGACCTACAAATTCAAAAATCTGAATTGAATTTGTAGGTCTGATGATTTGGATCGTATTTACGATTCCAATGGTTTAAATTATGACCATGGAATATTAGTGTTTAAGCCTTTTTATTATATCCTTACTCTGTCCTAGACATTGAGTTCTACCTGGATTCTTCCTCTTGGAAAATTTTTTTTCTGAAAATATACATGTATGGGTATTTTTATATATTTTTTATATATATTTTGCATATGTATGTATATTTTCCACTAATATTTTCTCTCTCTCTCTCTCTCTCTATATATATATATATATATATATATATATATATATTTGCGTGTGTGTGTGTGTAAGAGAGAGAGAGAGAGAGAGGAGAGGTTATTTCCCAAAACATCTATTGAGTAAACGTTTAGAAATAGTTTCAACTAAGCAGCCAGGATAAAAAATACATCGACGTTCATTAAAGATCTTTTTTATAATATTTAAATCCAAAGTTTTCATGGTCCATTTAAAATGAAAATGTATATTACCCTACCCTGAAGGTCACCTATTTCACTGAAACTTCATTACGGTTATTATATTTGTTCATATTTTTGATAAGCTCTATTATCAAGCAATCTTTACGACAAGTATGAGAAATAGTTGGTGATAACTCGCTTCATATATTAAATTAATACAGCTTGAGAGATATATTTAAGAGAGAGAGGTGGGTATAAATAGATAGATATATGGAGAGATGGAGATAATGTCGGAGATAGATAGATAGATAGATAGATAGATAGATAGATAGATAGATAGATAGATAGATAGATAGATAGATAGATAGATAATGATCAAAATGAGATAGATAGAGAGAGAGAGAGAGAGAGATGTATGTGAGAGAGATCCTTGTTTTATTTCCCTAAGTAAATTGTAATCTAATGTCAGATTTCCTTCAGTAATAATCAGTTTACATTTACATATATTCAAATTTCAAATGTTTCCTGAACTAGAAATGAATGCATTTCTAAAGAATGTAAAGACGTTCAATTTGCCATATATATCCGAGCTGCACGGATTCATTTTATAAAGTTTTGAGAGAGAGAGGGTGGGGTGTAAATAGATCGATATAGGGAGAGATAAAGTTGGAGATAGATAGATAGATAGATAGATAGATAGATAGATAGATAGATAGATAGATAGATAGATAGATAGATATGTGAGAGAGATGCTGGTTTTATTTCCCTAAGTAAATTGTAATCTAACATCCGTTTCCTTCAGTAATTTTACATTTACATTTATTCAAATTTCAAAAGTTTCCTGAACTAAAAATGAATGCATTTCCAAAGACTGTAAAGACGTTCAATTTGCAATAAATATCTGAGCTGCATGGATTCATTTTATAAAGTTTTTAGAGAGAGAGAGGGGGGTATAAATAGATAGATAGATAGATATAGGGAGAGATCGAGATAAAGTCGAAGATAGATAGATAGATAGATAGATAGATAGATAGATAGATAGATAGATAGATAGATATGCGAGAGAGATGCTGGTTTTATTTCCCTAAGTAAATTGTAATCTAACGTTCGTTTCCTCCAGTAATTTTACATTTACATACATTCAAATTTCAAATGTTTCCTGAACTAAAAATGAATGCATTCCCAAAGACTGTAAAGACGTTCAATTTGCAATAAATATCTGCGCTGCATGGATTCATTTTATAAAGTTTTAACAATACAGCTATGCACAACTGTACACCTATTTTGTAGCCAACTTCTATTTAAATTTCTTTCATACAACGCCGTGAAATTCAAGGGCAAAGAAATAATACAGGAAATCAATACGAAACTTGCATTCAAAATATTACAATGCCAATATTTATTCTATGTATTTGGACCTAGAAAGGTCAATATATAGTATCAAATACGCTATTAATAACTTAATTATTTCCTTAATTCATTTAACTACCAATGCGACTGTTTATCTAGTGCAATAGATAGATGGATAGATCGATAAAAATGGAAAGATATACAGTCAACCATCGATGAAACTAAAACAAATATATTAATGTTTTGTTTTCCACACAGACGCAAATCGATAAACATAGAACTAGCGATAAGATAAAGATGGGGAATAGTAAAATAGCGTATAAAAACAAAAAAAAAAATATTTAAATTGAGTTGGGATGTTTCAAAGCAAATTATAATGGAAATTAATCTCAGTAACAAAATAAAACTTTTAAAATGCGACAAATGTGTATAATTTCCCGGAATGAATCCAACAACGTTACAGTGTACATATCACTCATTTTGGCTCGAAAGCAATGTGACTGAAAGTTTGTAAAAACGAAAGGAAAAAGCAATACTGTAATCGAAGATTGAAACTGAAGATATCTGTCTTGGCTACTGACCAGATCGACGCGTCTGGGAAGCATGACTCACCCTAGAAATCAATGGCAAAGGAGATTTTGTTGGGAATGCAGCCAGGAGTTTATTGTATAGTTTCTTTTTTGCTTAATTCTTCTTTTGTTGGCAGGTTTATATTTTACAATGAACATAAATAATTTTCCACCAAATTTAGCATTCATATGAAATGTAGGAATTACTTTTTCGATTCAGGCAATGAGTGGTAAACATCTAAAAATGTGCACTGTTTTCGATGACATCGATACCAATATAGGCTTACGGCTATATCCTGTTAAAACACTGGTTCTCGTGTGATCATAGATATTAAGCAACGTCGCGACTGGTCAGTACCTAAATGAGTGACGGCTTAGCAACAACAGGTGCTGTAAGTTTGAATGTGCGGGTAACTACTCGGAATCTGACCTAGACTGTCCAATCTCCAATTCCCGTTGAGTTCATTATATTCACTTAAGTGCAAGTACCCTTAGGAAATATATGACTTCACCTCTTCTCCATCAGCTATGGGTTAATTAGTAGGCATTGTATCATTGAATCACTATTACCTTCCCAAAGTTCTTACAACCTAAAACATTTTCCGGATTTAATTAACCTGCCAAATGGGTTGATAAGAAGGAAAAAACAAAATCAATGAATGTACGCACATATATATATATATATATATATATATATATATATATATATATACATACAAATATAGATAACTATACTGTTTCGAAAAACCCTCGAATTTTTGATTTGCCAATAATCAAATCAATCTCGAGAGAAAAAAGGTTTTAAAAAAAGATAGAGCTACAAACATGAAAGTCTGTCGGAAAAAAATCGCACAGATGCAGGTTTGAAGCCCAAAGAAAAAAACCCTATACGAGTAAACAACTAACTAAACAAATTTCCCTGACGATCCGTTTAGGTGAAACCTAGGTAGGTTTGTCTGGCTCACTAGGTCTATCTATCTATCTATCTATCTATCTATCTATCTATCTATCTATCTATCTATCTATATATATATATATATATATATATATATATATACATATGTGTGTGTGTGTGTGTGTGTGTGTGTGTGTGTGTGTGTGTGTGTGTGTGTGTGTGTGTAATAAGCGAAGTATCTTTCTGACAAATTATTTTATATAATTAAAGAGGTACTTGTGAAAAACAAACAATATTAACTATTTATATAAAAGCTTTGTTAAACAATGATTCGGAACGTACCAAGCAATAATAAGGTCGAGTCTAGAATTTCTAACATCATTTTCAATATATTATATTCTAAAATTTCCCAAATTTTCCGTCGTTCTTATTTTTGAAAAAAGGAACTAAATGATAATTATTAAAATGTAAAAAAAATAAACGTGTTGCAAACCTTTGCATAAGTCTAATTCATTATGTCAAGAAGTTACAATGATAAAGAATTTCCAATTTATTAGTGTAATTTCTATAAAGACCAATTAATATTATTTTAATCTATATATAAAATTCTGTGACCTCCATTAATCCGTCCGTTAATCTGTCCGTCAGTCTCTTCGTCCGTCTGTTCATCTGTCACAACCTCTAAAATAGCCATACTTTGACAGATCGAAACAATATTTTGGAGAGAAGTGCAAACACGTAAAGAGATACAAATCACAATGCCAAACGCCTCAAGAAGTTGCAATTTGCCTAAAAAAATACTGTTTACGTATGGCTTTGTGTGTTGCATGCTCAAGAGTAAGAAATCCTAAGAAATTATTATTAGCTGTTAAAATGGAAAAAATGAATAAAAGAATTTTTCTTTAGAAATATTGTTTACCATGAAGTCCAATAAAATAGAATTAAACAAATTATTAAACAGCGAAATAGAGTTTTTTGACAAAGTATTTTTCCAAACAAATCAAATTTCATCGATTGATTTTAAAAAATTGAACGAAACGTAGTTTTTGTAAATGTCGACAAAAATGTTAGTGATAACTTTAACAATACTAAATTCTGTAAGGATTTCAAAACACGTCAGATTGCGGCAAATAATTTCTAGTAATTAATTTTTTTTTTCTCCATACTTTATAAAAAAAGGTAATTATTATAAGAAGCATACAAGTCATTTTTATTAATAATGATACGATCTGTCACTGATTTTGCAAATTCCGTGAGCATCTATTAAAGGATTTTCTCTCGTGCATCTGTAACGTTTCAAATGCTCATCAGTGGATTTTGGTATGTGGTCATCTCTTGTCATCATTCTCCAAACTTTTTGCATGGGACTGAGGTCTAGAGACATGACAATCTATGATTTACTGTAAAAATTGATCGCTAAAGTACAAAACACTTGTCTCTATAGAGTGTTAACTGGATTGTATTGATGAAAAATCTTTCTTTTTTTCTTTTTTTTTTTACTGTTCTGTTGATAGTTTTGAGATGAAGCTATATTCTCGTATCTATTGATGCATGAAAATAGATGTGGTTCTCTTAACAACAACTAGTGAAATCTACAGACAGTAAAATTACCCCAGACCATATTTCTCTCACGGCCAAATCTACGAGTAACCTTCGTCGGCGCTTCTCGTCATATTTCATACCATGAAATAAATAAAATCTGTCGTAGTCAGACTTCTTAAGACTTGATGCATTCCATATGTCCAGATCACATCCTGCAGAATATGATCCTTTTGCAGCTGATCTTTTCATTAACGCATCAGTTTCATTTTTAGCATTTACACAAAAATGTTTCAGCTTATCTCACACTAATAATACACGGGTGTTACTAGCCAAAACTTTGTGAACAGATTTTAATACATGCAACGTATTGTTTGTCTAATTATCCAAAAACCTTTTCAACAGTTTCTTATAGCTTACAATATGTCACCCTGTCCGCCTAGTAATCATTGTTTTCGTCTCAGTTCATTTTTGTGTTTGGTCTTAGCTACGTGATAAACCAAGATTTTTCTCGATTTTTTAGGAGGTCTTGGGTTAGTATCATCACCCAGATTTACTCCAAAAAAGAATACTATTTCGTCTGTCACAGGCGAGTAACATTATGACATTTTTACAGATAATATTCTAAGAATAATTGTCAAGTTATAATTACAGAAAATTCTCGAATTTACAGGCGTTTGTGAAGATAGTGGACATCGAGAAATGAGATAATTTAAAAAATGGGACCTTATTTCAATTTTACTTTCAATATTTTATTTTTTAATAAGGAAATAAAGACTTTTAACTTATACTTTTAGTTACACTATAAATTCTCAAGCAAGCAACTCCAAATTCAACACGAGATCCGTTCTTATCCCATTTTCTGGAGCACGTCTATGTCTATAATACTATACCTCCCATGAGAAATAAAACGGTCGTTCAATTGACACTTCAATTCTTTATTCGAATGTGTTATTATAAATTCACGGTTCTTACTGATAAATGAATAGAAATAAAGGGTGTTTTATTAAGACGGATTAAATTATATAAGGGTGTTTCGTTAAGAAGGATCAAAGTCAGCAGTGAATAAATCAGTGTCATTGGTGAAAATTTATTTATTTCTCTAGTGGATCATATTATTTAAGTCATGGCAATTATGTGTAAAAAATAATATCGCACAAATGTCCGCTAAATCTGAAAGAAAATGAAAAAAAATTATTAGACGCTTAAACTTAATTCACATTGAAATCAGTCTTAGTTATTAGAACACCCTTTATATATCAATGTTTGCATCTTTATAAATTTCTACAAGAAAATGAGAAAGCTTTAAACAAATAAGAAACTGCCTTCATGAAATAGTATTTTATTCCCTACATTAAAGTTAACGGAACATAAGTTCTAATTTAATCGATTTTCAAATTAAATATATAAATTATTAAATACATAGGCATAAGAAAAATCTAAACATAAGATAAAAATCTAAAGATCTATTACTTGAAAACTATTGAAAATAGAAACATCCGAGTTTAAAGAATATGATGATTATTAATTCTTGTAGGGTTTCGTATTCGCGTATTAAATAAACTGTTAGCGATTTCACCGAATGAACAGATTGTTCAATACATGTTAAGCATAAGCAACGTGTACAGACCAAGCACTGAAGTTTATTTCCCTTGAACATGGCGATTTAAAAGAAAGAAACATAGGTATAAAACTACAAAAGAGATGACAGGGAAGGTTGCATAATAAATCAATATCTGAGACGATATAAAAAGCAGGCAGAAAAAGAAAGAAAGAAAGAAAGAAAGAAAGAAAGAAAGAAAGAAAGAAAGGCAAACAAAAAGATATACAGAAAGTAAGCTAGAAAGAGAGAAAGAAAAATAGACTAGTAGAAAGAAAGTCAGACGGGCATAAAAGAAAAAATGAAGACAGACGGACTGGACGGAAAGAAAGAAAGAAAGAAAGAAAGAAAGAAAGAAAGAAAGAAAGAAAGAAAGAAAGAAAGAAAGAAAGAAAGGGCAGACTGGTAGAAAGAAAGAAAGAATGGGAAGACTGGTAGAAAGAAAGAAAGAAAGAAAGAAAGAAAGAAAGAAAGAAAGAAAGAAAGAAATATGAGTAGAAAGGAAGACGGGCAGAAAGAAAAAAGAAAGAACTGATAGAAAGACAGACAAACAAAAAGAAAGAAACAAAGAAAGACTGGCATAAAGAAAGAAAGTTAAACCGTGAAAGAAAGAAAGAGTGAGAGAGAGAGAGAGAGAGAGAGAGAGCGTAAGTGAGAAAGAAAGAATTAAAGATAGAAAGGAAAAAAGAAAGGCTAAGTTTACTGTTCTTATATATTATAAATACATCTTGCCTTCTCAATGCTCAATAATATTCCAGGGTCAAGGTTATCGAAAACGAATGAAAAATCTGCTAGCTTTTATTATAGCTGAATTGATCGTCAGCGGAAACGTCTTTATTGTTTATTTAATAAAATTGTTGCTGGTACCATGAAAGTTGCTGACGCCATCTTCCGAGAAAGATTATAATCTATCTCAACTATCGTGATCAATCTGTGAAAAGAACTTTCTATTAATATTTATTATACGAGAAAGTAAAAATATTTCCTAAGATTTACTCTTATGGTCGGAGGGCCATTAAAAGACACCGTTCTACGTAATTTCTATGTATACAACTTGATAATTTTGAATAAAATACATTATAATGGAGCGATTATTTTGAAAGCATTAATGATTACCTGTCTTGCACATCAATTGATAAAAAGCATGTTAAATGAATTGTTTTTAAGTTTCTTTCATTCATGTACTTTTGATCCTTATTATTTTCACACGCTAATCCTTTACATGCACACACACACACACACACACACACACACACACACACACACATATATATATATATATATATATATATATATATATATATATATATATATATATATATCAATCGTACAATTTTTTTTAATATATTAAAATCGGTATTCTAAACAACATATGCACTTACTGTATTCGATAAGTAAAAAAATTTTCATTTTTACATTATAATTAATATGAAATAATAGTTGAAAGTAAAAATTAACACCATAAAAGTAAAACTAACACCATAGTAGACACATATCATAAGACAAAATGTTTTTAATTTGCATTGAAAATCACACTAAAACTACGCGCTGTATAAAATACTACAGCATAATACAGCTAAATTGTTTAGAATAATTTTCCTTTAAAGTAAATGATGGTTTTATTTAATGATTTAGCAATAATTTGCTTATATCATGCGTCTTGTCATTTTTTATCCCGTGACTACTGCGGCTGCAGTACGCAATAGAAGTGGTGTTTGTTGGCAACATAGCCTGATGGAGTCCAACCCGCTATAGAACCCAGCCTGTCCTGATATTTACCCATACCTGGAAGAGAAGAAGAGGATCCATGCCTTTCCCAAGGGTATTAGCACGTAAGCGAATGTAAAGGAATGTGAACTCAGCTCTCCGATTCCTCAATCCGAGCCGCTATATACTACACCAGCGTGTCCCCACTTATCCATATACAATTTATAAAGCTTGAGAAAATTATAAATGTTATAAAATTATAAGTGTTTCACTGATCACCGGAACGAAATTCTTACACTAGGATTTTGAATCTAAACTTAATCTTTAAACTCGTTTCTTCAATAAACAGTAATGATTTGAAAAAAGATATTTTGCATCCTTATTTACCATATAACGTACAGATTGAATGCAATACAACAGTTCCAAATTCGAATTCCCCTATTGTCTCGTCGTCCTGGGTATAATAATAAACAGCAAGGCCTCTGATCGGGAGATTAAAGCTTTTGAGGCGAGTGGAACCATCTCATAGCTGCTGTCGTTCTGAGGTCCACTCGAACCCACAGAGGTAACATCTGTTAGATTCCCAGCTATGGGCGAATAATGAACCCTCGAACAAAAACCAACATTATATTTTTATTATAAAATGACCAACAATATATTTTTATAGTAAAATGACTAAAAAACTAAAAAATACATTTTTATAGTAAAATTAACTACAATACATTTTATCATCTATAAAATATATATCTAAAAAGCATAACCTTAATCTGAAAGTATATAATTATTAACTGTAGTTGAAAGCATAGCATTATGTAGAAAATATTTAGAAAAATACGTCTTTATAGTAAAACGATCAACAATTCCGTCGCTGTCGTTGACGGAAGTCGATGCTAAGTATTGGGGTGCTTATCGACATTTCCTATGTGAAATGAGTGCTATGTTGGATTTGAAGAAACGTCCGCAGCCACCGTATGGAAGGGTAGGAGGTTTCAAAATATGGAGAGCTCTGGCTTTTCTCTGGACTCTTTTTGACCATTTTATTTGTCTTCTTTTCGAAGGCTTTTTCTTTTCTTTTTTTTTTTTTTTTTTTTTTTCGTAGACTGCTATTTTTCAGTTGTTTCTTTTGCTTTTTCCGCCTCCCAATTGACCGGATCGATTTCTGTCCTCAGCAAAATGTTTTTAAGCTGATCCTTGAATCGATGACGTGATGCTCCACGTTGTCTCTTTCCAGATGCGAGCTCTGAGAAGGGTAGGCGGATGTCTGGCATTTGGGCAAGGTATGCGGGCCATCGATGTCGGTGACGAGTCATGATGGTTTCTCGGTTCTACGTCTGTGCACAGAGAGCTTCGTTGTTTGTGACCTGGTCCTGCCACGTGTTCCGCCGGATTTGAAATAGTTTCATTTGATGGGCTCATCCAAATTTGCGAATGTCACTTCAGTAGAGTACCCAGGTCAAACAAACGTATATAGGAGAGTCGAGATTACAACAGCTCGGTTTGTGTTAACCCAGCTCTGTAAAATTGTCCGGTGAGTTTTGGTCGTCTTCGAGTTCATGGATGAGTGTGCATTTGTCATCAGCGTACTGGAGCTCGTACGTTCCTCATATATATATATATATATATATATATATATATATATATATAAATGCACGTGTTTACATACATATATATCACAGCATAACAATATTATACTAAACAAGCACCTAACCAACATACAATATGAATATAACCGCACAAATAAAGAATGCAACTACCGAAAAACAAAACCTGCCTGATGAGCTACAAGTGCATTACTAAACGTATAATTTATCAAGGCAGACATGACGGTGAGGTCTAATTCTATTTTGGTTCAACGGAAAACCATTGAAAATCTCGGTTCTACCTCAATCAGTTTCATTAGGCAATATTAAATATAGTAACAGAACTGCACTCCACAAATCTTTCTGGAAAATAAAAAGAGGCAATAGAAACCCAAGGATCAACTGGAATTACGAGCAAAGTCCAAACCCTACATTGGGGAGGGCAATAAATATAATTTATGTCTTTTAGATAAAATTAATTATTCTAAAACATATAGATAACCGTAATTTGTTAAACAAAAGAAGTGAATTAATAACCGCATGCATACATAGAAAGAAATATCTGCTCAAGCACGTTGACTCATATTGATATAGTTTTTCTCATTTGTACTCCACATTTACTATTGATAAATTTACTATTGTTATAAAATTATAAGTATCAATATTAATATTGTTAATATTGTTATACTAATGCTATCGTATTATTAATATTACTATTATCTATCATTTACCTATTATTATTATTATTATTATTATATCACTGTTGTTTTTATTATCGATATCTCCTTTCAAAATTTTTCCCCCAGCTCAGCCTAGTTCTGCATTTTTAAGCAGCGTATAAACGATGAAAGAATTATCACTTCTATTTTGTGTTCCTGATTAATGCAGTTAACCTCCTTGTACGCTTTGTGCGGTATCCACGCTGATAAAGTGTTCTAGGAGGCGCATTTGGCGTGTGTATCCGATCCAAAATTTGTCACTATATCGAAGAGTGAGAAAATCTCTAGACTTTTAGAGACCTTTAATTTGATATATTCCCTTACGGTCTTCTTATACCCACCAAAGTTTGGGTTTACTTGTGTTAGTCTGTCGTCAACCATTTGGCGTCAGCAGATATGGCACATTCCGGATAGGTAATGTCCTGAACGGTTCAGCCTTGTCGACCCGAAGCAGGCGGAATATGTACGGTATCAGTTAACAGTTTATTGAGAGTTTGCCTACACAACATCGCCTGTACGTTCAGTGAATTTGAAAATATCAGCATGAGTTGAGATAATTTTTTAACATTTTTTGATCCCAGATTATCAATGGTGATTAGTATAACTATTGAAATCAGATGAAGAAAAACTTCTCATCGGTCTTATTCAACCTATTCTGCGGGAATTAGTCCTACCATAATCATAGTAACATGAAATATGCAATTGGCAGTGTTCATAGCTGATAAGTCAATGAAACTACAAGAACTCCTACAGAAGGCAGTAAAAGAAAGTGAGAAGAAAGGAATAAACAGCAATGGCAATAAAACGGAATGCATGGTTCTTAACAAAAGGAAGCGTCCAATATGCAAATTATAAATCGCAGATACCAAAATAAGATAACTAAAAAAATTTAAATACCCGGGAAGTGTTTTAACAGAGAACGGAAAGTGCGACATTGTGATAGGCACAGATGCATTCTAAACGTTGTTGTAACCTAGACAGATTTATTGAATGAGGAATCCTCAAAACGGAGTTTGGAACTGAAATACACAAAATACAATACTCGTCAGCGTCGTGAAGTAGGTAAACCACTGCTAGTGGTGAACTACTTAGACAGCATATTACGATATTTACCTGCCTCCCCACGAGGTAGGATATGGCACAAGGCCAAATTTAATGTGGGGATATCTTTGGAGACCTTGGAATCGTGCAAACAATTTCTCGTAGACCCCACCATACGCGGTATTGAGTACATGTCTACCTCACCGGACGAGACTCTGGCCTTCGGCATAGGCTCGTCCGGGTTCCTCTCTGCCCGAAGGCAGACAGTTCGACATGACAAGAGCAGCTTACGCTGCCAACGTAGATAGTAGATCACCCTCACTTAAATTAGTGTCCAACGTATTATGAGAACTGGGACATAGCCATTAGTTCTTAGGTAGGTAATATTACAAAAGCCAAACAGAGAAATTTCCGTAGAAACACTGATTACTGTAATGTAATATAGGTTCACCTATATGGTAGTGAATGCTAGTGAAAATCAAAATCAAAAAGAAAAATTATACTTAACATCAGGAAGAGGCAGTTTAAATTTCAAAGGCACACAATGAGGAAGGAGGCCTTGGAAAACCTGATACTTAGAAAAAAAGATTTAAGTCAAGGACAGAGGAAAACAACTCATGACATACTAAATGGGCTTCAGAAAATG